AAACTCCAAATCTCTAACTCTAATCTCCCTTATAAATAGACGAATCAATCTTAAAAAATAATTCTCAATAATTCAACATAAACTGGCTCCGATACCACTTTTTAGAATTAAATCATAATAAATATGAATATAAACTGAGTTCTAATCATATTAAATTATCAAGAATAAAATATCATATTTGCAAATTGTACTTGGATTAATTGATAGGTTGAAATCTTTGAAACTTTATTTGGTTGTGATATTCTAAAAAGATAGAATTCTCTTAATTATAAACTCTTTAACGAGGATAAGAGAAAATACAAGATTATCTATTTTTTGGGGACTATAATCCCTTTGTATAGCTGATTTAAGAATCGATTATTATATGTACTTGTAACTCTTCCCCTCATCAGATTATAAATACAATTTTAATAGTATCTACACTTTTATTTCCGTGATACTTCTAATACCATATGACTTTATAACATAATTAGTCATTTAATTTATGTCATATTTTACGATAATACATTATAAATATGTTCCCATAATTATGAATTTAATCCAACATGTCTCCCATGATTTTGAAGACAATCTCAAAAAAGATATCCAGATGCCTTTGAAGAAGATATTGTGTTGATCCAATGTGTTGGTAGTTTGACAATATGTTGGTTCGAATGTTTTGAGTTGTTTGAGTAAATTGACGATCATTTCATTCTAAGCATTTTTTTTTAAAGTTTGTGAATTATTTTGGATGTTGATAATTCTCATACACCTTCTGCTCTGTATCGGTTATGTTCAAGTATTGTTGAATAATAACTGTATATTCTCTGTTTAAAGACTCAAAAATCCTAGTCGCTCATAATTTCATTGCATATATCGTCCACCGTTGTTCAACGTCAACGACATCAGTAATGAAGTTCTCATAATTGATAGCGTTTATCTTTCACTATTGATAATGATGTTTATTTGTACTTATCATTTATTCGAGTTGTTTGATTAAATTTTTACTTCTTTTCTTATATAATTTATTTTTCTTAAATTGTTAGTTTATACAATTCAATGGTTTTTTTATTTAATAAAATTAACAAATACCAAAAAATTATATATAATCGATTTCGACTTAACAAATTTAATCAATCATTCAAGTTTATCAACCATAATATAGGATATGTATTGCCACACTTATTCATTTTGAATTATTGACGTTATATTATTACTTAATAAATATGCCTAATCAAGCACTTTCCATCGCACTTTCTCTCAAATCTCTTTTTTTTCTGTTCCTTCTGTAGCATAAAGCTCAGAACTTATCTACCCTTTATATTTATTTTTATTTTATTTAATTATCTATTTTTTGGGGATGGTAGGTTTTCAACTTTCTAAATTCTAACCTTGTGTACAGATTGGAAACAAATCCTTATCCTATATGTCATGTGTGTCTGCCCTGCCAAATCTTCGGACCAATTGCTGCCTTAATTATTTATTATATAAGGTCTGTCCAGCTTGCTTAATACTTGGATTAATTTGCTAATAATTTTCCCGATCATAAGGATAATATAATTATTTCATAATTGATCAAATGCAACCTAATCTCATCTGAAAATAATCCATAGTTGCCACCTACAGCAACAAACAAAGCGTGCCCAAATTTCTTTATAAAATACATCTTAAAAGATGTGTCTTATAATCGTTTAAAAAATAATTAAAGTGAAATATTTTCAGTAATATATCAACTAGAAATACTTAAGAAGAACAATTTATTAACTAAACCTGTTAAAGGCAGCCATGCATGTTGCCATACCCCACGATTGATTCTTTTCTTCTTTTCCAGAAATTGTACGTAATGAACATATAGAGATTAATAAAATAAAGAAGAAAATATGTTTAAATCACTTACTTTAATGACTACTGTTATTTAGGATTATAAAAATAAAAGTGGACTGTTATGACGTATGCATGATGTTTTTGGATTTTTTTAATGTTCACTCACAATCCATATCAATGTGATTGACGTCAATACATCCAATCATCACAACTTTTATTTTGTATATCTAGGATTTGTTTTGTATTTCTAGAATTTAATTATGTTTTGCTTTGATTTAATTAAGATTTTTTTATTATAAATTTAATACTTCATCCGACCCATAAAAACTCTCTTGTCGACTTTTAAAAAGTTAAAAATTTTAAACTTTGACATTAACGAAATTTCATAAAATATATATTTAAAAACTACTTGATTGAGGACTTTTAAAATATATTTTTACATATTTTTATCACTTATAAATTTTAAATAATAATTAGTTAAAATTTAAAAAAATTGACAAAAAAAATTAATAATGGACAGTTTTTAGGGACATAGGAAATAAAAGTTTTTATCTCGTCCGGTACAAATTTAATTTTAGTTTTAAAAGTGTTATTTCACTTATGAATGTGCCAGCATCCTCATTTACTGAACAGATCCTCTATTCTCTTTTCGATTCACCCTTTATTTATGATATTTAGTTACTTCTTTTATAAATGTTTATGATCACTATATATATTATGTTGAATTGTGTTAAAACAATTTTCAATATAATATATTATTATTATTATTATTATTATAGAGAGTAAACTTTTAATATTTTATGCATAATATTATTAAAATTTAAATATCAAACAATGTTAACAATGCAGTAATAAATATGATGACATTGAAGTTTTAAAAATTTAGTCAGGGATAGATAGTGGTTTGGGCCTAGAGATGGGTATGGGTTGGGTCTAGTAGGGTCAGATTTTTGGTCCACCCAACCCGACCCAAAAATCATAAATTCTCCATTCGTCCCGAACTTGACTCGAAAAATATATACATTCCACTCGACCTGAACTCAGATCGATTTTTTGAGATAAAATCCAAATCCAACTCGAAATAATATATTTATTAAAAGATATTTAGGGGTATTATTGTAATTATCCCTAAATATATAGAGTAAAATTATAATTTTCTGGGTCGGGTCAAGTTAGGTATTTTTAACTCTAAACCCGAACCTCACCCGACCCAAACATAACTTTAAAAAAAATCCAACCCGAACCCGAGTTTTTAAAAAAAAAATCCGATCGAGTCGATTTAGATCGAAACCTATAGAATTCGGGTACCATGCCCATCCCGGTTTGGACCTTTGGAATTTATTTTTGTATAATTCCTTGGAAATTAAACAATTATTTCATATTAAAAAGGAAAACCAGTCTCTCACGATCAAGATGCCGAGCTCGATTCTGAACCATTTGATGAGGTTTCTTTTGTGCCAAACGAGTTAAGTGCGATTACACCTCAGGAAAAAGAAATAATATGAAAAATGAAAAAAAAACCCATGGCTTTTGGATCCCATAAAAAGGGATCAATGGAGCAAGTGGGTTAGATAGTTTCTCTTTAATTTTACGTATACATGCGTGCATGTATTTATACCCATTCATTTCATACGAAGCCACATGAGTCAATCAAATCTCATCATCGTATAGAGTTCGAGATAATTAAGATCATCAGCAGGCTAACATAAGATACGGGACTGCTGGACAACGTCTTAACCGAATTTACTGATGTAAAACAAGAGCTAAATCATTCAAAATCTCAAATATTCTTACGTGTCCAAACATATATATACTCCATTACGTTATTTTTTGGATTTATCTGACCGCCTAATCTACCAATATTTTTTCCCTTTTTCCCTTTTTGTGTGACTTGAATCTCACTTACGGCCGTCCTTTTATCTTTTAATGAATTTCAACTTTATCTAAATTCAAATTTTCATATTAATTAAAATTTAAAATAATATTATTGTGTTTTTCGTATTAATATGAATCGTACCACACAAAATTGTAGTTGCATTTTGTCGGGTTTTGGGGTTTCTAAATGTGGAAATACATCCAAGTTGAGGAGAGGAGTGAGTAAATTCCACGAAGCCAATGAAGTGTGAGTTGTAAACCTTAAAAACCACACGGTGGGTGACACGTCATGAAGGGTACATTGTAGGACCCACAAATGGGGTGGAATATCATTACATGTACCAGAGAATATGCAAGGTTAATTATGTTGGGGGGATTAATTAGGTAGAGATTAGGGGTGTTTCGGTTAATTAAAGATCAACCGTCCTATTTGGGATAATTAGGGGCCACGGCTATTGGGGATGGGAGCTTATTTGGAAGTTTAATTGCAACATGCGTGAATTCCAGAAACCCCACAACCTGCCAAAAAAGACTACAGTCTTATAATGCTCGCCACATATTAAAAAAAATCGAACTAATTACATAATGAATTGATGATATAATTTGTATTAATTATGAATCAAATCCATTTCTTCTATATGATTAATATGTTAAGATTGATTATTAATTGAAATAATGAATAATAGTTTAGCTAACTAAATAGAAAATCATCTCGATTATCGAATAATATAAAAACACGAAAATAAAAAATACATTAAATATCTAAAATTATTATATTTTCAAAAGTTTTGAATATGAGACTTTTGTTAAACCAGAACATGTCTAGACCTTATTTGATTGTAGGATGACAATTTCACTCGAATTTAACGAGTTAGGTTTGTTTTAAGAGTATGATAAAGTTAAATTTAAGTTTATGACAAAAGAAATTTAATTTGATCCGACCTTATCTAACATTATAATTATTCTTTATATTTTTGAAAATAATCGTAATAATATTTCTTTTTATTTTATTTTTAAAATTAAGCTTTTATTTTACTTAATAAAAATAAATTATCTATATATAAATATGTGTTGAATGTAAGTAGAAGACTTCAATTTTTAAATTGAATTCAAGTGGATAAAAATTCGACCCGACACAATTTAATTATTGATAGAGAGTGTGAGTTGTGTTAATTATATTTTAAAGTATAAATGGAATTTTAAATTGGTCTATACACACAATAAAACATGACCACACCTTCCTTGTCCTTTCCTCTCCCCACCCACCTTTTCCATGGCTATAAATATAAATCCCGAGAGCGCTTCACTGACCGTGGGATAAAGAGTAACAAGCTAGAGCTTCACTTTCCTAACAACACATACTTTCTCTTCTACACACATTGAGTGAGAAAAACATATACATATATATACATCATCATGGCTCTTCACCTCTCTTGGGTTTTCATTTTTGGCATTCTAGGTACGTACAAACAAACAAAATCTTCATGTTTTGTCTTACTCTTTCAATCCATGTTTTCTTATTTTTCTTGTCATATTTTCGTGTTTTTAGGCAACGCTGTTTCATTCATGGTCTCCTTGGCTCCACTGTGAGTGTTCTTGTCAAACTGTTTTTGTTTTTCACTGTTGCTTTAGTGAGAAATTGTGTTGTTAATGGAGGATTATCGTCCCATTAATATTTTTTTCAGGCCAACATTTTATCAAATATACAAGAAGAAAACATCCGAAGGTTTCCAGTCGATTCCTTACGTGGTTTCACTCTTCAGTGCAATGCTTTGGATTTACTACGCACTGCTTAAGAAAGATGCCATGTTCCTCATCACCATCAACACTTTTTGCGTTTTCATTCAGGCCTTTTACATTGTTACTTACTTTCACTATGGTCCCAAGAAAGAAAAGGTAACATCTCTTCATCCATTAATTACTTCAACATATACATGTACATATACATATACATGTGACATGATTTGAATATGTCGAAATGGATGAATTGCAGATTATGACAGTAAAGCTTATGCTTCTCTTCAACGTTTTCGGATTCGGAGTTATCTTTCTTTCAACTTTCTTCCTCCCAAATCCCTCGGTTCGTCTCCTAGTTTTGGGTTACATTTGCATGGCATTCGCTTTGGCAGTGTTCGCCGCGCCTCTCGCCATCGTGGTGAGGATCACTGATAACTTTTAAACCGATTAATATGTCATCGTCTGATTTACTGCCGGACTTAATTTTCGACCCCTTCTATTGCAGAGAAAAGTGATTAAAACGAAGAGTGTGGAGTTCATGCCTTTTACTTTGTCAGTGTTCCTTACCTTGGGAGCTATCATGTGGTTCTTCTATGGCCTTTTGTTGAAAGACATGAACATTGCCGTGAGTCATCTCATTTGACCACACCAAAATCATTTTATTTAGACTTTTTTGTCCATTTTTTAACGACCATCGAACTGCGACCAACAGGTTCCAAACATTCTAGGGTTCATCTTTGGAATTCTCCAGATGATACTTTACGCAATTTATAGAAATCATCCCAAGAAAACGGTGGAAGAATCCGATCCAAAGCTTCAATTATCGGATCGCTCGATTGTTATCTTCGATGTTGCCAAGCTCGGTTCCAACGACGACAACAACAACGGTGGCGGAATCGAAGGAAATAATGATGCTTTGAACAAAGTTTAAAAACGTCTATTTCATGCTGTGAGTGCTATCAAAAGAGGGTTCCACTTGGAGATGTCTTGAGCTTACGTGTTTACTTTGATTTTGCATGGGGGAAATATGAGATGAAGTTAAACCATGCAAAATAATAACTTTATAAAAAAAATTAGCCTAATAATGTGGGTTTAATTTCTTTGTCTTTTCAGTCAACATCGTAAAATCTTTGTGTCTCTCATTTCAAATCTATAATCACATGTATTATGTAATTAGTTTCACTTTTCCTGTTCTATTAATGAAATGTTTATATTTTTATGTTTTAATTTTTCTCTTGATGGTATCTTTTATTCATTTTTATAAATTCAAATAAAATTAAAAATATATATATATTTTTTATCATAAAATGTTAATTCAAACATATTATTTTTTTTCTAAAATATATAATTTCGAGTTCAAACTCTAAACGATCTCTTCTTTCTATCTCTTCTTTTTCTTTAAAAAAAATCTCGCTTTAAGCCTTTTTCCTTTGGCCACTTGTTATCCTTTAAGTTAGCCAAAAAAAAAAAGAGAAGGCTTTAATTTAGTGTTTCTTTTGCTCGCTGATTTATTTTATTGTCTTGTTATTAGCGTAGTTTAAAGTTAGAGGACCAATTTAGGTTTAGACTTCTTTTAGAATTAAGATTGAATCTACATTTTTCATCAAAGTTTTATATACTTTTAATGCTAGTTATTTTATTTTTACATTTTGGTAAAATTAAAAAGGAAATTAAATTGTTATAATTGCAAAACGTTGCGGACACCTAAAATAAGAATGCCAACAATGAGCAGTACATCCACTGACCGAGTCACCTTCATTCTTAGATTTTCGGTTTATTTCATAAATTATATAAAAGTATTTAAAAATAAATCTAATATTATTTAATATATCCACGAATTTGAACAGCTCCAAGTATTATCACACTGCGGAGCTGAGAAATTAGTCGTTGCCTCGAGTGCAAACTTTAACCCTCTGCCATTGGTAAAAGTCATCTATGATATTCGAAATCGAGCTTGATTTACATAGTATCTTTGGATCCCACAAGAATGCAACATGGTGAGCACTATCGAATTTCATTACGTTTTGCTCGTTATTAATAATTAACCGGGAAGAATGCCTCATTAAAAACTTCCCTAAGTCTAGATGGAGGAAAATAGTACATTCAACATGATAACGAGAGTAAACCCACCGAAACCAACAAGAGTAGACAATTCAGATCAAAGTACACCCAGCCACAAGCAGTAACACAACAAATAGCTAGACACCTATCAACACTCAAACGACAAGTTAGAGATGCCTTAAGACACTGAAACACTCATACACGAACAGATCTAAAGAGACAAAATACAGCAGCCGCACAAAAGAATATATCAAAACTTTCGCATTATAGAATTATCTGTTCTTAAATCATTGGTTTAAACTCTAACCTCGCATTTGAAACTTTTACATTAACATATTTGGTCATGAATTGTAACACATGTTGGTGTACAAATTCTAATAAGTAAATAATTATTTATGCAGCTGAAACTTGATTTACGCGTCTATGTCTTTAGCGAGAAAAGAATTCCACTTCTAAATTTCAATAGAAATAGCTTTTTAAGTCCAACCAATCACTTTTTGATTGCAGCCTCGCTCCCATACACATAAAATGAACTCTCATCTCTAAACTAATCTTACAAATTGAAGAGTGACACACACACACACACACATAATTTCATCTCATGAGAAAAAAATCTTTTCCATCAACTATTAGTTAATTTGATGAAATAAAGTTAAAATCTTGATATTATATATAAAGTAATTTAGATTAAGAAGATTATTTCTATAATAAAATAACTTGACATTTAAATTTGAATTAATAAATTGAATACATATGTTAGAACAAACATAATTTGTTGTTGTACAAATTACAACCGAATCTGCAGCAGTGGATGAATGATACATATTGTTTATGTATAAAAGATGTAATAATTTGTACATAAATGTTGAGATTCGAATGTAAATATTTTAAAATAATGTTTGTTAAAAGGTGATTTAAAAAAATGATTTATGTAGGGATGGGTTGTTGACTTGTGTGTTGAAATGGGAAGGCCCCACAAACAAGGGCAGGTACCTTGCTGTTTATCAGGTGAAGTTTGGTTAACGCCGAACCGAGTACTTCCCAGCATCTTTGTATTATTTTTAACTCATTATCGTCACCCACTGTGCTGCAGTTTTTTGCTTAATGACAAAACATACGACATTCATCCCCACTCAATTTATCTTTTACATATTTCAAGCACTCCATTCTCCCCTTCAAATTGCTCAATAAATCCTTACAAAATTATTTATTAAAAATATTCGGGACATTACATAAGATCACTCAAATTTTGACATATTAATCTTAAAAGATTAATTTTAAACTTTATAATATTAATTTAGTAAATTCACTTCGTACTAGATCGAATTCAATTTAATCATACTTTTTATATAAAAAAATACTATGAAACACGATAGTTTGATATAGGGTATACTTTCTTTGATCCACTAACACACATTTTGCCAATTTGGAGTTAGTACCTTGTGAATTGTTTTTTTTTCTTTGATCCCTCAAGGGTATATATTTTTTATTTTTTACCCTTGTGAAGAAGTAGCTTAAACACACACACACATCAAACAAGGACTGCCTGCCTACCCTCCTAACTCTAAATCTAAAATAGTGGAGAATCTTTGATTCTATCAATAGTGTTCAATGACTCTAAAGTAGAGTACCTCAATGCCCTACCACATCAATTTTACTTGTACCCATGGTCAAAATGAAAATTTTAAAAATAAAAGGGACATGATTTAGAAGGCAATCTCTTTTTGGTTAAGTAAATTACATATATTTGATTATAGGGGAGTAAAATTTTATTTTAACTCGATTTATTTTTTAATTTTGAGTTATTCGAATCATTTGAGTTATTTGAGTCAATTTGAATCAGTAGTTCAAATTTTGAGTTCGAGACAAATTTAAATTTTAAAATTTCGAATAAGTAAAAAAAATCAAATATTAAAACCAAGTCCTTTTTGCCATTAGCTTTAGCTAAGTTGTTTGGTTATTTTGTGATTTGATCTTAGTATCATTGTTTCTTAAGTATCTATTTCTTTGGGTCTAGTTTTTACCGATTTGAAACACTTGCCCCTAAAATATGGTAAAATACGAGTGAAACTTCCATTTCTATTTTTGACAAAAAAATATCTTTTTATAATTTAATCCCTTAACTTTATGTTTTATTTAATTTGATAATTTGATTGCACATTTTTGTAAATTCTTTCCGCAAATCTATTTATTAACTTATTTATACTCTCATCTATACTTTGTCATCAAAACACATTCTTTAAAAAATAAAATATTATATATTATATATATTATTTCATTTATTAAATAAATTTATAAATCTTACACGTACATGTAAAAAAGAATATGAAAAAAAATATATGTATATTGTATATGCTTAGAGAGAGTTGTTTAAATGGAAACTCGTATGTACTATAACATTAAAATTATAAATAGTTACAATTAAATTTTAGTAAAACTAAAACAAATATATTTAATTCGATCTGACTCAAATTTATAAATTCGACTTGGCTAGAAAAAATAAATAAAATTTAAAAAATAAATAATACTGATCAACTCAACTAAAATTTTTCTACTCAATTTAATTCAACTTGATCAAATATTTATCCTTATATGGTTATATGTAATGAATAATTGAAAGAATTGGGTCTCATACTCTCACTATTTCAACAAATTAGGCACTTTTGTTAAGGTCCCAAGGTGTGCCCTACAACTTAGAATTGAGGTGGGAAATGTATTGTACTTAATTCGGATAGATAGACCGAACCATCCCCAGATGAAATTATTTGTTTTTTCTTTTAAATATTTGTAGTTTTCCTCCGACAAAATAATTTTTAATTGAGAATAATATGCAAGACTGTAATAAATATCAAATTTTCGGCACTCGCCATTTGAGGGAACAAAAACATTTTATATAAAAATATATATTTTAGAAATTAATCTAATAAATTCAAATAAAAAATAATTTATATAACAATTTATTAATCTTGTGTTCAATCCTAAAATTATAATTTTTAATTCTTTCACTTAATATTATATAAAAATGTAATAATAGGAAAGTATACAATAGACTTTATTATTTTTGAAAATAGAGATATATCTTGATCAAATTCATATAATAAATTTAAATTTATCAAAATATCCACACATTCCTCTTTGTTATTAAATCTAGATTTCCTCGATTATAATTTATTTAAGTAAAAGTTTAACATCTTTTAACAATAGAAGAATATAATCAATTATACATCTCATGTGGATTTAACTTCATTTTTATTGTAAATATTGCATTTGTGTTTGTTCATACTATCATTAGAGAATAAAGATTAAATAACAATCCTGATCACTTGATGTAATCTTTCTTTTATTATTAAATTTTACCTTATATAATTTATTGTAATAATATTTTTATACATCTACTACGATAAATATGACATAATCCTTTTTTTTTGTCAAATGATACTTTAGGTCCCTATTACTTTATATATTAATCCAAGTCTCGCCCTCTCTAATTTTTAGATTAAAATTCTTATCGAATACATGTTCTTTTGAAGTTAAACAAATTTATCCCTCTCGATATTTAATTCTAACTTTGTCCCTGAATTAGTACATTCATTTTACTACTCCGAACCTCATACACACCTCACCAAGATAAGGAAGAAGATGGGATTATAGATTTGATAGATATTTGCATTGCAGACAACAGCAAAGTATGCCTTTTTGTTCCCTCAATAATTTCCCCTTTCTTGTACAAACCCAATTATGATGAAATCTAGTGAAGAAAAAGATGAACATGAATTATCAGCGCACATTAATCTGCTCAATATATAAATCTGTAATGAAATTCATTTGATATGAAGGCACTCGGGCATACAATTTGAGCCCTTTTTTAAGTGTTTTCCTCGAGGGATAAGGGCTGAATTGGCCGGAAGTGGAGGCCGCACGTCATGCACTTCTTTATAACAAAAAGGATATTCTAATAATTGAGATTTGCTTAAATGGTGGCCAATATATTTTCTTCTTTATTTCTTTTTTATAATTTTAAAAAATACGAGATAAGGTATATGGGGTATGATTTCAAACATAGCTCTGAAAACCCAGATTTCCCATGCAAAAAAGGGAAAATAAAAATAATTGATGCTTTTTCCCCTATAAAAAAATGTTGTGATGATAAAGTTGACACTTTGATA